ATAATGAGTGAGAGCTATAGTCTGAAAACCACCTCACATCACTTCACACTAGCTTCTGTTCCCTAGAGGGGTCATTAGCAAGTGATTTCTAGAGTTAGAGGTGCCCAAGGATAAATACTTTTCTGGATTCTTAGGTCTAGTACTGTGATTATTGAATTTATTTTCATAAGAACTAAGCCCATGCTTAATCTTTTGAGCCTCACTTCTTTAATTCCAGAGTTGAAGCAGGTAGAACTAAAATCCTGGACACAGACTCTGAGTTGTTCTGAATGAACAGTAGCTCTCTCAAGGGTAATAAGGAGGGAGAGGACAGAGAGAAAACAAACTTTATCTTCTTGAGTATTTAAAATGATCTGGTACAGACAGTACTTTCAGTACCATTCTGCTGACTTTTCTTTATTACACAGGCAGTTAATCTTTCAGAATCTGACTAGACTAGTCACTTGTTAAAGATTATTCAGAGATTAGTGATGAATACCATGAACTGTGATCTTTCTTTTGACATTTGTCTTACTAATTTTTTTTCTGGAAATCTATAAAGTATAAGCATGTATCATTGAATTTCATCAAATCCAATGTGCTACCCACTGTAAGATGCTCTGTGACTGTTCACCTGCTCCCTGTTTTAAAAATACTAAACTGTTTTTTAAAAAGTCAAACATATATATCAAAATCTTGGTAATCTTTGCGGAGCTGACACTGTACTTTGATTGCCAAGGTCAGTAACTTATGTAGTGCTGTTGACAGTGTGACTTTTTAATAAGAGTAATGAGTGGTATGAATATATCTTTGGAGCAAAGATTTATGTAGAACATGTAAACCATAAATTATTCTAACAGCTTATAATTTGGGACAGACGGACAGGCTTTTTGTTTTATGGTTACATACTAGAAGTTCAAAGGGAAGAACACCATTCTCAGGATAGCACGGAGAACTGTAATAAAAGTTTGTGCCTGGAATCTAAAGACCTAGGTTTGAAACCCTACCTGATTTGTCCCCGGAATGTGTAATGCTCAGAGAATTATTAGAGTGTTTCTAAGTCTAAGCTGCTTCTGAAGTAAAAAAGAATGAGGATTACTGACAGATGGAGTGGTTGCAGAATCCACAAAGGCGTCAGTAAACGATTACACAAACAGAAGCCAATGAAATTGTTGGAGCTGACTCACCTGGATTTCCAGAGAGACATCTTAAAGGGAATTCAGAAAAATAAGAGTTTGGGAATGTGGACAATTTTTTTAGTATACATGAGATTTCAGAGTGAGGGGAATGTTCTACCAATGAAGGGAGAAAGATGTAAGGAAATGGAAAGATACTGTTCTAAATGGCAAGGTTGAAAATTTACCCATTATGAATAAATAAGGGGCCAGGGTCTCTTGGAGTGACTTGGAGTTCAGCAATTCATTATTGCTCTGTATAAGTTCAGTACTCAAGTTGGGAAAACAAAAATACTCATGGGAAAATCAACTGATGAGCAACATATCTTTGGACTAATTTGAAGGTAGAAAACTGCCTGTGACGTAGTCTCTTGTTACAATTGGTTTTTAAGTAAAGCGTAATCTATAACACCAATTAATTTTTCTCAGTTTGGCTTTCATCGCTGTAAGTAACATTTTCTTTTGGTGTCTTTGGGGGAGGAAGTTTTTGAAGTGTTTGTATTTTATACTTTCCCAAGAAATCTTGTGGTACATGTCCAAAGAATAATACATAAGAATCTTTGGCAAAATTCTCCAAAGAATGTTGTAAGAGGAGCTTTCCTAGGAAGAAGATGAGTAGTTGCATATAAACAATGTAGGATGTTGGAAGGGGTGAACAGAACTGAAAGTAACAGATGGAGAATATAACAGGGATGGGGGGGGGAGGGATGAATTAAGGCACTTTCTGAAGATTTCACAGGGATTAAGTACCCAAATTAGGACTTCATTAAATCTGAATCTTAATCCAGATCTGAGTCCTTGTTTACTATACAGGAGTGTATAATTAAGAAATGCAAATACTTGGTTCTGATTACTTGAAAGGAAACTGAATGACCCATGACTGTCTTGTGGGCTAGCATGTACTGCTAATAAGCCCAGGGCAGCAGGAATGCACGATTGGGAAAGTTCCATCTGGCTCATTTTGTGCTAGAGTCACATGACAGCCTGGTCACTGCAATTCACCTCCTCCCACCTTCTGGTCTCAAGTTGCATGTTTATAGAAAGAGGAGTTTGGACCTGACTGTGATGCCTCGGGCACATTGGCTTCCTCCATAACTGTCTGTCTTGCAGTCATTTCTAATCATTTAAGTTACACATTTGGCTAGTGTATTGCTTTCAAATCCTTGGTCTGCTCATCCTGAGGTCCCTACGCCATCACTTCTAATTACTTATATTGAAATGAAATTGCTCATAGTGAAATGCAATCTATTGTTTGTATTCTGAACCAGTGCTTTTCCTATAGTCCCGTTGAATATTATTTTCTGATTTTCAGAAGTTGTTGTATCTGGACTAACCATCTCCCAAAAGTATTTTGTTAGATTGGTATCAATAACAGGAAATAATATAGTGTTTTCTAACAGAAAAAAAAATCCAACATGAATTAAAGGAATTCTCCAAATCCTGTGTGCCAGTGGTTGTAACCATGGAAAACTTAAGCCACAGGCAACCACGTCCAGATATCATCAGAAGGAAGTTGTAGGTATGCCTTTCTTCTTAGGTCCTGGTCTCCAAGTTTGAGGACACTCTAGATTTCTCATGTCAATAGTTGATTGGCTCTTTTACTTCCTAGCAAGGACAACTCATGTATAACAATTACATTACACATGAATTGTACTCATAAAATACGTTCAGTGTGAAGGGGACAGAAATTTCCTTTGTCCATGGCTTTATACAACATAATATTGAGTTATTTGTTTAATATGGTCACTACATGTGAGAGCTTACCACCTAAGGAATTGTGCTGAGTGTGTATTAACATTACAACCCACAGTTCCTGACCCTAAGTTAGAGGTAGATAACAATGAACCGAGTGACAAATTCCCCTATAGTGATTCTCAGCAATCACTTTGTTCCCAGTAGTGGCAAATTTTTCATAGATTTCTTTAAACTGGCATTCAGCTGTGTTTTGGTGGTTTATTTATTTTTCTTTTGGATGGAAAACACAAAGTTGAAGCTCTTTATTTTCTATTTACTTTTTTTCCTTTTCTCTTTTTTTCTTGTTCTAAGGCCAGGACTTGAACTTGGTACCTCTGGCTGCTTTTGCCATTGGTAAGCATTTTACCAACTGAGCCATGCCTCCAACCCTTCTGTTGACTTTTTTAGGTGCTGTTTTCACTGGCTAGTTTGGCTCTCTAGGCGGGTGTGTTTTCTTAACACTGCACCCTGGCCTTCCTCTTCTGGAGGCACGTGTGCATGTTGTGAGCTGTGTGTGCCCCCATTAGTGGTAGCTGGAACTGATGTGAGTAGACTAAGGAATGTGACTTCTAACACAGGGCTCTCTCCCCCTTCTTCCATTTGGATGCAAATATCTTTCGGCCTCTTGAAAAGAAGGATTAGCCCTGGTTGTGTCCCTGTCAATCCTGAAGTTTGGCTTCCCTTCATTGTTTGCTTTCTGAAACCCCCAGCCTGCACAACTGTTGAATGCCTCTATTGTCCAGACATGCTGCCAGAAACCCAAGTCTGTTCTCAGAACCAGCTCTACGTCCCCCAGGAATCCAAGTAATAACTTACTAGCTTCTGGCCTCCCATGAACACTCTCTGACAAGGGCTTTGTGAGCTGCAAGGCACACAGAGGGGGAGGAGCAACTTATCTCAGGACTGTCACAGCACTCCTTGTTTCCCAGCCAGGTGCCTTCTCAGCCAGCATGTTTACTGGGAACTGTATATTCCTCTTTTTCCCTTTCCAAGAAGTGGACACTAAGGGGAGAACATCAACAGTATCTGAGCTTCTAAAAAGCTGTGGAGACAGCACTACATGTCTTGATATCTGCAAGAAGCATGTGCATGCGTGTGCACGCAAGCACACACACACACACACACACACACACACACACACACACACACACACACACATCATGTGTTAATTCTAGGCTTTTGTAAGTTAGTTTTCCCCATATGTCCAGGGCTAGTCAGTTATCTCTTCCGTTTAGTTCTTCACAGCAAAATCTGAAGGAATACTTGACTTCATGGGATCAAGCAATGCAAACTCAGTTCCTCAGCCCCTTCCTCAAATGTGAAGAAATTATGTACAACCACGACAGCCAGAGACCTGACTTACCTATGCATTTTGTATTTGATTGAATGAGATTGATACTGTTATATGGGAATTTGTGAGCTCCCGAGAAGCCATATTTTGAAAGGTCGAATCAGGAGTCCTTATTAGATAGCCAGCAACTGCAAGCAGACACATGTCCCCCAAAAACTTGCAGCCTCAGATACACTTAATACCGTTAGAAAACTGAGCCACAAGGGTAAGAGAGCAAAGAAAGAGCAGATCAACTCTAATGAAGAGTTGAAGAGGGACACCATGGTGACCTGAGGAATTAGGATATACAAGGTATGGTGTAAAATAGCAACTGAGCTGGTCAGGACCTCTAAATATTGTTGTGGTGAAGGGTCAGGGTCACAGGGAGCTTGCTCCTTGAGGTTCATGGTATAAAACTGGCAGGTCCAGTGACCTGTTGTCCAAATCACTGCCCCTGCCTCTAGGAATTCAAGCACACCAATTACCTGGCAGTGGGACTTTACCTTAATTCACCAGGAAGCCAAGATGGTACCAGTTAACCCAATTCCCTATCATCCACATGTTTCCAGGATGGCACCAGTGAGATCCAGAATCCATCTTTCTGTACTTAACAGTCTGTATACATGTAATATTCGAAGAACAATTTGGCTTTGGGTGGGTTCTGATATTTTGTAATGATCTCTTCATTACTATTAAAGCTTATCCTGTTAAGGATGATTTCTCTTTTTTATATTGTGTATGCTGACACCATGTTCTCTTCTTTTACTTATTTATTTTTTTAGGAAAGTATGCCTCAGACTCCTCCTTTTTCAGCAATGTTTGATAGCAGTGGTTACAACCGAAACCTCTATCAGTCTTCAGAGGACAGCTGTGGAGGGCTGTATTACCATGACAACAATCTCCTTTCTGGGTCTCTGGAAGCTCTTATCCAGCACTTAGTACCTAATGTGGATTACTATCCAGATGTAAGTATTCCTTATCCTCTGAAGGCCACCTTTATTATAGAACAAAGTATAATATAGTATACAGGAACCATGTGCACTGTGGAATTATACTCAGGTTGCTAAGAATTTTCTTAGTAAGAAACTACATAATGATTGTTGAATGCTTTGAATTCAAATCAAGTATGGGTATGTGTCACATTTTGATAGTCTCCGCTAAAGGTTTTAATTTTTTCAGGTGAGATGCCACAGTATAGGTAGTCTGGTACCATTGGAATAAAGTATATGAAGGGTTGATCTGTGTCTACTCTTTGGTTTTAAAATAAAAATGCTAGAGAACATTCAATCCCCTTAGAGTATGTTTATTTCCAATCCTATCACTCATGTGGAGAATTCAGATGAGATTTGCTTCTGGTTTGCTTTGATAACTTACAGTTTGTAAATTAGCACTGTGTAATCTAGCAAATTTGTTACATATTATCCCAATAATTCTAAAACAGGACAGGGGAGGAGACTGAAATTTCACAGTTGAGTATTTACTCAGTTTCACCTCCAGCATCTGGAATTAAACACAGGTTTTTTTTTCTTTCTGTAACACCTGGTTTTTCTTGTGTGCCACAGTAATAACTTTGGTGGAATTCAGTTTAGTAGGATAACAAGATTTATTAAATAGCTGGTTATTGATGGCCATTTCATGAAAGTATCTAGAGACCACCTTCATTCGTTTTTATAAATATAATAATAACTTTGGCATGCAAAGGTTAGTTTGTGCTTACCATGGTAATTCAGCATAATGCTTCTTACTAAGTTATCTCTCTCTGTGTGATTTGTACATGGTATTTTCAGATATGTTGCCACACAGGGAAAACGAGTAATCAAAAGTAAACGGAGCTCCTTGTTCAGCCCTGTAAATGTTTATGAGCTACTAAAGGCGCCTGGGGGATGGAGTGAGGGAACAATCCATGGAATTTCTCTTTTCATTGGGAGTCTGAAATTACTATAACAAATAAAGCACTACTTCATTACTGGCTTCTTGGGAGACAATGTGGTGAAAGAAAAGTATATAGTGTTTTATTGTGCTTGATCAAATTGCTTGGCCCTCATGCAAGTAAATAGGTTACTCACAAGATCATCTTCCAACTGCTCTGCCACAAACACTTCAGTGTGCTATATGAACACACAGGAGGATTCTTGATTGAACATAGATGGGATAAGTGGGGTCTTCTTTCTTTTTTGTTGTTTCATTTTGTTTTTTGTTTCCATCCAGGTACTATAATATTTGATCATATAATCAGATCCTCTCTGGGTGGTATATCTAAGTGGGATTTCTCTTTCTGGGCTGAATTTCATTATTCTCTCCTACAATAAGTAAGGTGTCCTGGTAGTCTGGCTTTCTGCAGATAGATGTGAAAATGTTCTCTGAATAATTTCAGGAACTAAATTTGTGCTGGAATTCTGTTAATATTTTATTATGGTTTAAAGGAAAAAGATAGAGACAAAGGTAAAGGAAAAATTCATATTGTATTGTTATATGTGCAGGTACTACTTTTGAAATTGTAGTATATGAACTTTGATCAAGAGAAGTTAATGAAATCAGATGCACCATCAACAATGTCTTTTTTCTCTTGTCACAGAGGACATATATATTCACCTTCCTCCTCAGTTCTCGGTTGTTTATGCATCCGTATGAGCTCATGGCCAAAGTTTGCCAATTATGTGTTGAGCACCAGAGACTAAGTGATCCTGATAGTGATAAGGTAAGGAAACATTTTGAACTTTATTATATGTGCTAACTCCATGGCTTGGATTGTGAAGTTAGTTTCCTAAGGGATCCTAGCTTACCTCCTCATTCAAGTGTGTAAGTGGCATCATGACTATACATAGGAAACTGGGAATTATTGAAAGAACATAGTATGGGTGGTACTACATTTCTATGGCATGCACAAGGCCCTGGGTTTGCGCTGCAAAAGTTAATAAACTACATCATACAAATTTAATGTTATAGATCTCTCTGAAACTAATTACACTTGATGTTGATATAGGGAAACACTAGTGCTGCTTCTTCGACCTCAAGAGGCTTATTTATTTGGCGTAGTGCATGTTGACAAATATCATTGAATTTCATGTGCTTTTTCTTCTTAGAGCCAGATGAGAAAAATTGCACCCAAAATTCTTCAGCTCTTGACAGAATGGACTGAAACATTTCCTTATGATTTTCGGGATGAAAGAATGATGAGAAACTTAAAAGATCTGGCTCACAGAATAGCCAGTGGCGAGGAGGTTGGTAACTTGAATTTTGCATAGCCATCAAAACTTTCAGAATAGCCTGGGTGGGAAATGGTAATGTATTATATCTGAATACCTCAGCACTTCCTTCTGCTTTGCCTTTGGAAAAGCCTTCTGCTATGGCATGTTGGTTGTTGTGATATAGCCAACAAATGATTATTCCATCTCACTTCAAAGAAATATGACCTGAAGTTTTATCTGATAAGTTGAGGGATTTGTTCATGTCAATTCATGCACAGGATTCAAGTTACAACTATGTTTTGGTTTTATTTTACTTATATATTAAGTGCTTCCTAAAAGGTTTGGCACCTTTAAAAAATAACATATTAAGAAGCATTAAGATGCACAGAGTCAATAGAATATTAATATAACAGTTGATTAGCAAGTAGCCTATTAATAAATCATAAATTTAAGTATATGATCTAGATCAGGAAAGGAGAAAACAAATATGTCAGTGTTGAGAGCCAGTAGGACAGGAAAGGAGTGTTGTGGCTTAAGTTTAATTTCCAGATAAAAGGAAAGTACAATTATTTACTTATTTTTTATTGTGAGAGGAAAGAAAAGCATACTAATTCTTCAGAGCACTAATTTAAACTTGAGGGTGGAGATGGAGCTCAATGTTGATTACTTGCTTGCATGTAGAGGGCACGGTTTCAATCCTACTACAACAGAAGCAACACCAATCTAAAATAAAAACACTTGTAAAGGCTCTCATATACAAGGAAATAATGCCATGTTTGTTGGCTTGTTTTATAATACTCTTGGTAGCATTGACCACAAATACTCCTTGATAAAACAGAAACCATTGATCAGAATGTATATTCACAAAGCTGGAAAAAGAGAAGATAGTCAAGGTTCTCTAGTGCTGGAAGTTATTTAAAGATAGTTTGTTTCAAGCTAGAATAGATGTAGATTAAAAGTAAGTCTTAGATGTCCATGAATATCACTTCCCTCAATTGAACCATTGATAAATTTGAACTAGTTGTGAAGCAGGCCTGAAGGGCTAATTTTCTATGTTGAGGCTTGTTTGGAAAAGATGTCTTTGTTGTTTCTGTGTTGCTGCTAAGTTGCTGGGAAGAAGAAAGGAGAGTAGGCAAAATGAGGAAGTTAGTAACTTGAATTTTAATATAGCTTGGATAGGAAAAGTTGAATTATTTTTCCAGAACCTCAATAACTTTCTGTTTTGCCTTTGGGCAAAACATAGTTTGGGGGATTATAGGTACATTTTCACATAGGACAGAAGGTAGACAAAACATTTGCCAACTGTAGTGAGGTCTTGTTTTATCTGAAAATACATTTTGCCATCATGTATAACTTTTCAATAGAACTCATTCTTTCAGAAGTATGCTGCAAAGCACACTGATCTATTCTGATACTGGTGAATACACTGTAGTGCCCTTTCTCCAACTTAAAAAAGCAATCAGACTAAAATGATATAATATTAGCACCTAGAAAACATGTACCTGGCTTTCCTTTATGATATTCTGTTCATAAAAGGAGAATTCTTTTGTGATTACTGTGATTACAGCTCAAGACAGCCATTTTTTTTTTTTTTTGGTCAGGCTGAGTGAGTCCTTTTGCAAATTCTGACTGTTATAATCCTCTTCAGGTATATCCATGCTCACAAAGGCCAAAGTGATGTATCACCATTCAATAAATCTTAAAGCTAGGAAGTGGCGCTGTAGCTCAAGTGGTAGAGCGCTAACCTTGAGCTGAAGAGTTGAGGGACAGTGCTCAGGCCCAGAGTTCAAGCCCCACGACCGACCAAAAAAAAAAATCTTAAGCTAGTGGTATTAACTGTTAGTTTACTTAGCAAGGTCAGTCCTGGCTTAGTGACCTTGGCTTATGACAAACTGTTCAAAAGATTAGTGACTTCATGGTGCTTTTCCTTATACAAATGCTGAAACTTGGGGTATAGTCAGTTCTTTGTCTTAGTTCAGTTGTATGTAACTACTCAACTTTATAAGTCAGCTATCTTCCTCCTATTGCCTTTTTGAAGAATAGAAATAATAACTGGGTACCAGTAGTTCACACCTGTAATCCTAGCTAGTCAAGAGGCTAAGATCTGAGCATTGTGGTTTGAAGACAGCTTAGTAGGGAAGTATGTGAGATTCCTATCAATTAACCACCAAAAAACTAATGCTAAAGCACCATCTGTGAGTGAAAAAAAGCTAAGGGCTGTGAGTGTAAAAAGCTACGGGATAGTACCCAGGCCCTGAATTCAAGACCCAGTACCAGCACACACACACACACACACACACACACATACACACACACACACACACACACACACACACACACACACCCATAGAAATTTATGATTTGATTCTTCCCAAAAGGAACACTTGAAAAATCATTTTCTTTATAAGATACAGTGGAAAATGTGAAATGGATGGCCTTGTGTCATACAAGTCAAAGAGTAAGATGTGGTCTTTTTTTTTTTTTTTTCCTTTTAAGCTAAACCAACAAGAACAAAGCACAAATACAAAATCAAGCTGTTTAAAAGTTGAGTTTGAACTGAGAAAGAGGGCACAACAGTCATACAACTCTGTCTTCTTGTCAGTACTCCTATGTTAATAACACATTCTTCATAAACCTTGGGAAGTTTATAGCTGGCTTTGAGCATGGAAAGAGGAGGTGGGGGGGGGGAGGTAAGCCAAGTCTAACTGAGGAATAGACTGAATGAGGGTATGTGTGGAGAGATGCACCTGCCTTGATCTGGCTGGGTTTCCTGAGAAATGCCTGGTTTTATCCACAATTCAGAAATCAGGCCCACACTTAGCAGTTGCTTCGTCTGACTGTGCTTTGGCAGGCTCCCAAATGCCTTCCTCCTTTCTCATCCCTATAAATGGTGTAAACAGTCCTGTGTTGCTGTCCCTTTCAGCTCTACATTTCTGTGATGGATGTTCTTTCCTTACTTTTTTTGTTTGACAGGATCCTCTGCTGTCATATTTTTAAGTGACTTTCCTCAGAGGGAATTCCCAACTCTACCCAACATCCCAACTACCATCATACCCCTCCCCAGCTTGCCTGTCACTACCCTCTCTTCATAGCTGTCTGTGATTTCCAATTATTTAGTTTTCAGTTGTTCTCACTGGGACTCATGCTATGCCTTATTTCCCTAAAATGGCATCCTTAATTCCTATCTGCCTCTGCGTAATAATTTGAATAAGTGAGTGAGTGAATGAATGAGTGGATAGGTGGATGAATAAATGAATGAGAAAACATTCTTTCCTTCCCCAAAAGGAGCATGAGATGGAGTTGTGACTTGTTGCTTCTTGCCTGTGACTTCAAGGATTTTTATTTTTAGTAGTCGGTGGATGCAGGTGTATTCTGCATATGATTTACTCAAGTTCTTTTGAATCTACTAGGACAGTTAGGTCTATATACTTTGCTTTAATATGTTTCTCCCCTGGGGATTTGCCCAAAATGAAGTGGTTTATTAGGACCTGCCTGCAAGAAGCCTGAAATGAAACAAATGATTGAGTTACATGACAAATGACTCTAGTTAGTAAAGTGCAATTTTCTCTTCCTTAAGGGGCTGGACTTCATAATAAGAACTTCTATCATTATTTGCTAGGTAATTACCATCCCTGGCATTTGAAGTTATAAAAAAGAATAAGTATGTATTTAACAGTTCATGAGTCAGTGAGGAAGCGTGCTTATTAGCAGCATAAGGCTTGACTTCACAAATGGAATCAAGTATAAGAAAGAAACTTCATTTTTTTTTTTGCGGGGGGAGGTGGGGGGGAGTTCCGGTCGTGGGGCTTGAATTCTGGGCTTGGGTGCTGTCCCTCAGCTCTTCAGCTCAAGGCTAGCTCTCTAGCCACAGTGTCACTTCCGGCTTTTTTTTTTTTTTGCTTATATGGTGCTGAGGAATCGAACCCAGGGCCTCATGCATGCAAGGCAAGCGCTCTACCACTGAGCCACCTTCCCAGCCCCAGAAACTTCATTTTTAAAAAATTAACTATAAGCAGTTGTACAAATGGGTTTCAATTCCACATATTATTTTAAGAATACGCTGCATCTTGATCAGTGCCACTCCTTCTATCATTCTCCACCATTTCCCCAAACCCTAAGTAGGAAACTTTTTAAAAAGAGCCCATATACATTCTCTCTCCTTCTATTGTGTCCTGTGTGTGCATATGCACACATGGCTATTATAATAGGTTTCCCCCTATACTCTAGTGCAATTTTTGCTCACTAGTAACCTGCCCATACAATTTCTCTACTTATTCCCGCAAAAACAAAAAATCAAATTGCGTGTGGGTTTTCAATTTTTTGTGTATAATAAATCAAATAGTAGAGGAAAATATTCCAATTGTTAAAAAGTAAACTTACAAGATGCAAAAGTACTCTAAATTCTACCCATCTTATATTTCTCTTAAAAGTAACAAGGATTGCCAATTTGGAATATATCCTTCAAGAGCTCCCTCTCTGTATATGTAATCATGCACAGATACAGACAGTTGCACAAGTAGTATGTATAGTGTGTGTGTGTATGTGTGTGTGAGAGTGTGTATATGTGTTAGTGTGTTCCACACAATGATGAGACCTTTCCATGTCAATGTAGACAGCTTTATCTTTTTTGGCATGCTACCCAGGACTCTGATATGTGGATGGACCTGGGTTTTTCTTGTTAAAAATTATTCTGTGAGAAACAAGCAGATTGTTTTGTGTTTTTTTCTTTTTTGATATAGAGGAAATTTAGAAATGTTCTGATACTGGACAAGGATATATATACCTTATCCATACCAGATTCTGTTTAGCATCATGGTAGTGTAATGACAGTCATAGGTTACTCTTGTAAACAGACTGTAATGATTGGGAAACTGCAACCTTCTTGCAGAAAAGATGTGTTTTCTACTCCTGGTGGATGGTACGTGCTGTAACTGAGGTACCTCAGAAAGATGTTTATCATCTATCATGAGTAATACACTGGGAACTAGCATAATTTTAAGTAGTGTTAACTCTCACAGGCATTTATTATGACATTTGGATAGAAGACTACTTTAGAAAACATCTTACATACTTATGGTCTTAAGGTAGCTCACTGTTACCAAAGTAGAAAGGCTGGACACAACAGAGATGAGGGATTTAAAATAAACCTTCACTTGGCTTTCAAGGACTTGGAATGTTAAAATAGAAACAAAAATTGAGGCACTTTCCTTGAGTGGTAAACGCATTGCCAAACAGCACCTTCTAAATGGGTAACATTCATGCTGAATGGAAGGTAGATTTTCTTGAATGTTCCAGTTGTTTTAAAACACTTAGATGGGCTGGGAAGGTGGCTCAGTAATAGAGCGCTTGCCTTGCATAAATGAGGCCCTGCGTTTGATTTCTCAGCACCACATAAGAAGAAAAAGCCAGAAGTGGCTCTGTGGCTCAAGTGAGCCCTAGCCTTGAGCTGAAGAGCTGAGGGATAGCGCCCAGGCCCAGAGTCCAGGCCCTATGACTGACTGGAAAAAAAAAAAAAAGGTGATCTGTATAGAAAAAAAATGAAGGTCATCTAATGGGCCAGTTAGAGCACTGGAGTATACATCAACCAAGAGAGAATAAGAGGAAAAGTACCTGTGTATGCTTTAAATCCTTGCATACATGAGAATTAACCATTTCCATGTGTGTTGTAATTTTGCCTCTCTCAGGATTTTTGCTATGTAGTCTGCTAAAAGGGCTTCTCTGGGGATGGGGTGGAAATAATGGTTCTTGTAGGCTTGTAGGTAGACACCATATGATATTGCTAGCCAATCCCAGCAGATGGTAATTGTGGTACCTCTTTAAAGGCAGTGAATTATAAATATGGGCCTTTCTGCATCTGCACTGGGAGCATTCTCCCTTGGAGCTGTTAGGACTCAGTTTGCCTTAAATCTGCTTATGTGCCTTTTTTTCTAATATGGACATCTTAATTTACCAAGAAAGATGATTGTTGGCAATTTTGGATCAAAAAGGGAAAATAATCCCTTAACTTATGATAAGCATACCCAAAGGCATACTTGAGTATACATAAGGCATTACTTATTTTAGGAAGTGATTTCTTTGATTTAAAAGGTGTCTTAAAAGTCAAAATGGCTGGGTGCCAGTGTCTCATGCCTATAATCCTAGCTACTCAGGAGGCTGAGATCAGAAGATCATGGTTTGAAGCCAGCCCAGGCAGGAAAGTTTGTGAAGCTCTTATCTCCAATTAACCACCAGAAAACCAAAAGTAGAACTGTGGCTCAAAGTGGTAGAACACTAGCCTTGAGTGAAAACGCTCAGGGACAGTGCCCAGGCCCTGACATCAAGCCCTATGACCGACCAAAGGAAAAAAAAACCAGTCTAGATGTTGTCCGATGTTGGTGGCTCATACCTATAATCCTAACTAGTCAGGAGACTGAGATCTGATCTGAGGTTTGCGGTTCATAGCCAGGCAGGGTAGAAAAGTCTGTGAAACTCTTATCTCTAATAAACTACTCAGAAAAAGCCAGAAGTAGTGCTGTGGCTCAAGTAGTAGAGTGCTAGCCTTGAGCCAAAGCTGCTCAGGAACCACGCCCAGACCCTGAATTCAAGACCCCAGGACTGGCACACACATACAAAATCAAGATGTGGACACCTTCATAAATATATGCAATGCTTTTTAAACCAAATGTTGTGTGTTGTGTCTATAACAGCGAAGTAGTGAGCAAATTGGCATCTAATAACATTAAAGAGAAAACTGAGACATAGAAGAGTTTGGTGAACACTAATACTGGCTTAGGAATGGGAATGAAAGAGAAAAGAGACAAGCTGAGACGGGATATCTACTTCCTTCTTGCCTGTGGAAGTCAGAAAGGTGGTGATGGCAGGGAGTGTAAAGGAAATGTATGTCCCTGTTAAATAGTTCTCATGTGCTGAGACCAGTCAAATCAGGAATGACAGGAATGGTGGTAACAAGAGGGTGCACCTCAAGAGAAGTTAGGGGAAGGTACTGTGATTTGAGATTGAGGTAGTTCAGCTTAGCACAAGTCAGAGGCACATTCCTACCAGACAACAGGGGATTAGTTATATGTAGCACTTATGACTCTACATTACCTCAATAACTAATTGGCAATGACTGTAGTGTTTTCAAAGGCCAACTAGAATTCCACTTTCAAATCCACCTGAGGAAAAATACTACATCTTCTAGGTTTGAGACACTCCAGGTATATATGAGTCTCTTTTAAGATGATTCAGCCCATGTAGGTTTCCTGGACCAAGTTGATTGTCCAAGATCAAGATGAAAACATGTAATGGCATGGTCACTCAGGATATATAGAGCTGAAAAGGGACATGCAGAGCAAGAATGTCACCCTTCACTTTATTCCCTAGCAGACATACCGGAAGAATGTCCAGCAGATGATACAGTGTCTGATCCGAAAGCTCACCACGCTCAGCCAGTATGAGGAAGTTTTGGCAAAAATCAGCTCCACCTCCACAGATAGACTCACAGTTCTGAAAACCAAGCCACAGTCCATCCAGAGGGATATCATTACCGTCTGCAGCGACCCTTACACGTTGGCCCAGCAGCTGACTCACATAGAGCTGGTAAGACTGTTGTCAGCACTGCCCTTTAGAATCACATTTGGTTTGCTTTGGCAACCAGACAATGTACTTGCCAGCAGTAATGTCAGCAGAGAGTTGTTAATAATCCAAGGGGGAGATAATCTACAAAATAGCCAAACCAGAGTTTGTTTAGGCATTTGACTCTGAATGCTTCTGATAATTTGGGAATTTAACTTGTAATAAATATGAATAAACAAGATTGAAAAGCGGAGCTTACTAAGCTTGTACAACTTGCGCCTCTAATTAATGTCCCCATACTTCACTCAGTCTTCTATCTTTTGGAATGTTGCCCTTAGCAGAAAATTGCCTCTGTTCAGACCCTTAGAGTGATGAAAATGTTTAGAGGTTAAAGTTTATTTTAAGCTGGGTGCAGTGACTCATACCTGTAATCCAGGAGGCTGAGATCGAAGTATTATGATTTGAAGTCAGTATGAACAGAAGTCTGAGAGACTCTTACCTTCAATTAACTGGCAAAAACAGGAAGTAGAGCTGTGGATCAAGTGGTAGAGTGCCAGCCTTGAGTGAAAAAGCTAAGGGACAGCACCCAGGATCTGAGTCCAAGCCCCAGCGTTACCCCCCACCCTGAAAAATATCCTAAGATCTTATTTTATAATTTGCATTGGAATTAGGGGTGCTACCAAAGGTTAATTGAGGTTGTTAACCATCCATCCCTTTTCATTTCTTGAATATTGTTGATGGCTTGGATTTTTTTTTTCCTCCTTAGGAAAGACTCAACTATATCGGGCCAGAAGAATTTGTTCAGGCGTTTGTACAGAAGGATCCCTTAGACAATGACAAGGTAATCTTTCTATCCAGAGGTCAGCCCTGCAACTAGAAATGCAATGCCTTTAGCTTTAATAATGGATATAAGACATAAGAATTGAAACTATTTTGTTGTACATTTGAAAATGAGAACTTGCTTCTTTTTTTTTCCATTAGCTGTGTGTGAGTCATGACATTTCTTGAGCTTTGGTCTCTGAGTGTTTTTATAATATCACTAACTTTTTGCTAACCTATCTTTTACTTTTAGCTGCCTCTTCCTCCTTATGGGGAAACTTAATAAGCTCTTACAGCAAGTAGATGCTTGCATCTGTGGTGATGAGGGTGGAAGATAAAAGCATAATTGTTTTAGCAGATTAAGCCAGAAAGAAAATAGAAAGGAATGCTCAGCTTATGATTCAACAGCAGCAGGGGCAGGAAAGACAGGAAGTACATTCAGTTCACCAAGCAAGGTTCTTCACTGCTTTGCCTCTCGTTTAAGGCAAACCCTCATGATGTCAAACCCACATGTAAGGAAAATAATACTGGAAAGGCATAGAAAATCAGTCTACATATATAAGAATTGTTTCCACAGTTACCTCCAGAAGTGTCTCGAATTGTTATGGAAAGGCTTTGTCACCCACTGATGAAAGTCCCCTTCAGGAGCTGAGGCCACAGCTGTTTTCCGGCCTTAGAATAGTTTCTGTTAGTACAGGAAATGAAGAAGGTGTTTTGTGATAGAAAGCTAGTGGGCACTTTTGTGTGTGTCTTTTAGAAGGAAGGAAAGAGGTGATAGTGAACCTCTTCAAGCTTGACCTTGAACTTCAAGATGAGATTAACTTCTTTTGCTTTTGAATGAGATATCACTCACCACACTAATAATAACCAAGATAGGGTAGACTACCATTTATTTTCGTTGGAAGGTATTTTGTTTCTTGGTGCATGATGCTTCAAAATTTTGTCCTACAACTTAATTTGAGATGTGTGGATAGCAGTCAGGACTTGTAACCTATTAGTGAGATCAAGATTATAGGGCAGCCATAATCCTTCCTATGAATTGTGTTTCTGAGGATGGATCCTAGCCAGAGTAACTTTGTTTCTTGGGCAAGGTATGTTATAAAAATGCATCAAAGTAAACTAGGCATCGGTGGCTAACACCTGTAATCCTAGCTACTCAGGAGGCTGAGATCTGAGGATCACAGTTCAAAGCCAGCCCTGGCAGGAAACTCCGTGAGATTCTTATCTCCAATAAATCACTCAGAAAACCGGAAGTGGCACTGTGGCTCAAGCGGTACAGTGCTTGCCTTTAGCTGAAGAGCTGAGGGATAGTGTCCAGGCCCAGAGTTCAAGCCCCATGACCAACAGAAAAAAAAAAAATGCATCGAAGTCTATATTCACTGGATCACTCTAAGAGATTTTGCTATTCTATAAGGATAATAAAGACTGTTAGGTTGGTGTTCCTTTCTCTCTGTCTCTCTGACTCTGACTCTGTCTCTTTCTCTGTCTCTGTCTCTCTGTTTCTTTTCTTTCTCTCTCTCTATCCCTCTGTCCCTGTCTCTGTTTCTCTCTCTCTCTCTCTCTCTCTCTCTCTCTCTCTCACACACACACACACACACACACACACATGCACACACACTTTATCACCCATAAACTGGGAATGAAGATTCTATATTTTGTACAATGAGACCCTAATACATTCATTTTTTCCTCTCTCTCTCTAACACTTGTTCACTGCTTCTCTATAGAGTTGCTATACTGAGCGGAAGAAAACACGAAATTTAGAAGCTTATGTGGAATGGTTCAATCGACTAAGCTACTTGGTTGCAACAGAAATCTGCATGGTGAGGAAATCAGTTTTGTCTGCCTCTTCCCTGTTATATTCTTCATGCTTACTTTATGTCTGTTGGGTGTTCACAACTGCCTTTCACTGTCTTTTCACGCAGCCTGTGAAGAAGAAACACCGAGCAAGAATGATAGAGTATTTCATTGATGTAGCTCGAGAATGTTTCAATATTGGCAACTTTAATTCCTTGATGGCAATAATCTGTGAGTATTTTCTCAAAGTGAAATATGTCCTTTATTTTTATGGGGCCTATGAAATGTAGCCACCAAAAGTATGTGAATAGTGCAATTTTACTAATGAACCGTGTTCTATTTTACTGGTTTCTTTTAGGGCACCAGCCTTAAGAGTAATTCTTATGTTTTTAGATGGTTGAAGAACTGAACTGAATTATTTCATAATGTTCAGAATAGTCAGATTGGTGCACGTATACTTCATAAATTTGCATAATTTATGTAATATTTTAAATTTATCTCTGAAAGCTTCTAAGTAGAGGCTGGCAATGTAGCTCAGAGATAGTCACTTGCCTAGACTATACATACACACACACACACACACACACACACACAGACTATACACAGAATACACACATGTGTATACACACAATTATAAGGGAGGAATTTGTCTAAATAAAGAATTTTTAACAGACATTGGTAGCTTGTACGTCAAGCCTTTTAGAAATATATGACCTGAGACTAAATCATATGGAAAAAGCTAATAGTGGTGATAGGCAACCACTGCCCTGATTTCTGGAGTTAGTGAGGGGAGGAGACTGACAGGAAGTCAGTCCATGGGTGCTTTCTGGGATGATAGTATATTGCTACTGTATTTTGATTACTGTGAAGATACATAGACATCTATGTTTTCCAAATTAATTCTATGGTATATTTAGGATCAGTGTATTTTTCTATGTGTAAATTTTACCTCAATTGGCAAGCTCCCTCTTCTTGATCTTAAATTATGGGGAGTGGTGGCATGGATTACATACCTGGATTTATTTAGGCTTGTGTGGGTTCCTTTCCCACTGCAAGTCACTGAAGTATGCAGTCATCATTTAGAGGAGGTAGCACAGCATGCTAGGAAGAGTGTGGATTATGGAGTCAGACCAGTGTTAGCTTCCCGTCTCTGTACCTGGTTAGCTGGATGAGGCTGAGGGAAATTCCTTAGCCCCGGAATCAGCTTATTCTCCTGGGTTGGTCCAATGGATATGTGAGATGCTAGATACAAAGCATGGGTAACTATGGAGATCCAGGTCAAGAGTTAGAAAACTACGACCTGTGACTTGTGACCTAGTCTGGCCCACTCCTGGTCTGCTTTGAGTTCTCACATTTTTTAGATGATTTAAAAATGAATAATGTTTCTAATAATGTTTCTAAAATGTGAACATATTATAAATTCAGATTACAGTGTGCCTAAGTAAAGTTTTGTTGGACATAGCCTTGTTACTTGTTTACTTGGCTGTCCGTAGCAGCTCCTGCACTGAAACATGATAACATGACTGTTTATAGTGGCAACGTAAACCATATGGCTTGAACAGTCTAAAATGTTTACTCCTTTTCCCTGTATCAAGAAAATGTACTCACCACTGCTCAGGGTAACTGATAGTTGAGATAAAGTTTTTTGGTTGAGGATGAATGTACAGGAAAAATTTGTAAAATTGGAGTTTGTTACTTATGAGTAAGATGTGGGTCTTCGTAACTTAAGAATATGCTTCTCAGGAGTATGTTAGAATTACTTTTCTTAATCTCTGTGTCAATTTTCTTCTCCCTCTATGCATTTAAAATGAGAAGCTGGCATGAATATGAGCCCAGTCTCTCGACTAAAAAAAACCTGGGCCAAAGTGAAGACTGCAAAGTTTGATGTTCTTGAGGTAAGAAAGAGTCTTACAGACCTAGAAGAAGGAAAGGGAAAGGAATTTGAATTGAGGAAGAAGGCTTTAGACTAGCCCTTTTAAAAGCAGAGATGTACATTTTGGGGTAATGGGCAAGTGCAGACATTTCAGTTGCATCATGTAATCTGGAGAAGAATCAGGGCCCTGAATAGTGAAGAGTGTTGCTCCCTACTTGACCTACTGCTTTTTAGTGGCCCATGGTAGGTTGCATTCCTTATCCCCAAGGAGTATGCATTACCCATTCTTTCAGCAAATTTAGCTGATCTATGAAAAGCCATGAGAATATACAATTCTGATGATAGGTAGAATTGTGCACAAGAGCATGTGTGTTTAATCCTGTTCACCTCCCTGTGACCATGGAAATAGTAATTATTCTTTCCTGAGTTTTCCCTGAAACTGAGACTTACCATTAGATCTATGCTGCTTTATTTGTATTATCCAATACATTTATTTTCCTTCTTGCAAAACGATATGCTTTAATTATTTGTGAATGATTTGTGGTCAAGTGTAGAGATCAAGTTTACTGGCTAACCATCACCTGGCTCATTGGCCTTCACATGAGGGATGTTTTCCTAATGCTAGCATTTGACTCTATCTTACTAGTGTTAGCTCTGCTCTTAATAATTACTGTAAATAGATATGGTTTAGGTATAATATTACCAAAGCTGATGTCAGATTTGTGTTGTAACACAAAGAAAACATTTGAGTTGTAGTGAGTTGCAATTGCACATTTGTTTATGAGAGACAAATTATATCCTAATGAGCTCTCTAATTTATTTTGAGTTTTTATTGTCTAGGTAAATGTGATCTTGTGAACTTCTACAGCTAAGAAGTATACGGTTAATGCTATTTTCTCTTTACAGCATCAGATGGACCCTTCCAGCAATTTCTATAATTATCGAACAGCTCTTCGTGGGGCAGCACAAAGGTCTTTAACTGCTCATAGCAGCAGAGAGAAGGTATGTACTTACAATAGTATGCTATTCATGGAAGCGTTGCTGTTACCTGTGTAGATCTAAGAGAGATGCATACTATAGAAATCTCATCACCAGCCACACAGGAAGGGAAATCTTAAAGGAAAATTGAATTATGGGGAACGTAAAGGTGACTTGGTAAAGAACTTGGCAAATATAGATAACTGTGTTATTGTTACATTACTGAAATACTTACTCTGCAGTGCCTCTGAGTTGTGTACCTAGAAATAAATTAAATCATATGCTGAGATGACTAATAGCGTTAGGGAGCAATTTGGTTTAATAGAAAAAAAGACACTTAAACACTGCACCAGGTCGCTGACTTAATGTAACCTTTTCTCTTTAAAGAATTAGCTTGCCTCTCACTATTAAGTCATTTATTTTCAGAAAGTAAGTTGGTTGCTATAGCATTAGGCCTGGTGTTACTAATTAGATATGTGGGTGGCAAAAAAATTAGAGGGGTTGTATCTGAGAAATTAAAGATCTTCTCCCTTTCTACCCTACTTTTTAAACAAGTTAGTACTCTCCTGTTTCCACCCTATGCTTGAATCTTAGAGTCCTTTCTTGTTGCATTTCTCCTTTATATTTCCTTCTAGAGGAAGGATAAATTATCTTGACATTTGACTCTCATGTTACTTGGGATGTTTATACCTATTATGATAAATGGTTAACCGAGGTTGTCCTCTGCTTTCTATCTTTTAACATGTATTTTCAGCAAATTAAAAAAAAAACAAGGGGACAAAATATTTCATGGTATCTAAGTCACTTCCCCCTAACAGCTTCCATCTTAATGATTGAAAATGAAAACAAACACAAACCTTATCTTCTGAAGATGCTAAATTGGATCTCAACCACATCTGATGTATTATATACACATGAGCTTTTGTTTTTAAATGAAGAAAACTTAACACTCACTGGAAAGTTTCTCAGGTTGTAAATTGTGCTTGCAAAAATCCCAGTATTGCTATGATTCCATGGAGAAAAGACCTAATCTGAGGCATTTCTTTTTTGCTTCGGAGAATCATCTCGTATATGGGAGGAGCCCTTCCCACTGAAGTGAAGGGATACAGGACCACATCCCCTTTCCCAGTGTTACATGCAAGGCACTTTGTCTTTTTGCATGGACCCCAGTGATTAATTGTGGTTCTGCCTCCGCATAAATGCCGTGGGCTCCCATTTCAGATGCTGCTTCATGGGCTACAGTAATTCTGCTGTCTAGCCTCTCCGAGAAATCTCACTTGTGGGACTCCAATAGCTTTTTTCAGGGGAAAAAAAGGCCGAAATATTTATTCTTTATAGAATATAATAAATTCTTTCTGCTTTCATTTACTTCTTTAAACCAATCTCGTGCCAGTTTATGAATTGTACCCTGTAGTTCAATGAAACAAGTGAAACCACAGCTATTCAAAGAAATGTGCCGTTTCTTTTTCACAATTGCTCCCAAGACAATAAGAATGAAAACATTTCTAGTCAAATGCATCTTTTACTCAAGAAAACTGGGATTCCTCTACTTTTTTTTTTTTGAGGTGAGGGAAGACTTTCTTTGGAATAAAGAAAGTCCTTATTTTATAATTTTCCTGGAAGCATAACTAAAAAATAGCATCTCTGATCTTTCAAATCTCAAATTTATGTGGTCAAAGTGGCCTATTTCCTAGTCCCTATTAGAGGGAAAAGCAAATATTTCTTCCACATATGAGCCCTGAAGTTCTTTCTGACTAACTCCTTTTCATCTGTGAATACTTGTGTCTCCAGGCTTTTAATCATTCCTCATACGATTTCATGATGTTCATTCTTTTGCTATTCTGTTTGTGTTCCTGTCAACTTACTCCTGCTCATTAGTATTCCCTGCTAGGTGTGGAACTGATTATATCTATAAAGTACAATTGCTGACTGTCTAAGAATATTTTAAAAGAGAAATGGAAAACATCATCACTTGAGGAGTTCTCCCACTCATAACATCATCATCATCATCATTAAGACCTTGTAGAAACAAAATATTTACTCTCTCCTACTCCTATGTTCATTTAGTATGCATGGAAATCTGACGTCTGTGTATTCTGCTGATTCTTGCTATGTTAGATTGCATAGGGATCTTTTAGAGGGATATTCAGATCTAATGAGAATTTTCCATGAGTAAATGAGAAGCTGAAGAAACCTGTAAGATTACCTTCTTGATGTCTGTAGGCATTTTCTAACTAAGATGAGTTATGTTTTCCTTTCCATAAAAGAGTAATTCAGATATTCAAAAGAAAGTCTTGTGAGCACCCTTGAAAGCAAAAGTCATAGAAAGAACAATTCTTCCACCCAACACTAATAATTCACCTAGATAGATGCATATGGCATGAACTTTGAAAAAGTTTAAATATACCTATATGAGTCAGTGAATGAATAACACTCCATGAATCTCATATCCCAGCACCAAATAATAAAAGTCATTGCTTAAAAGCTGTTCCAGGATACAAATATTACATCTTGATGATAATTTGGTTCTCATTTTCCTGGGGTTGTCCAAGATGATGTGTCTTTATTTTTGTCTAAGTACATACTCAATTTGGATAACAGCATGAAAGCAGACATAGCTAAAAAATAGACAAATGATATTGCCTGTGTTCTGGCAAAGTTCTCTTGTCACTATAATTTGAATTTCTTGTAATATTTTTCATGTATTCCCAGATATTATGCTTTTGAATCCCCCCAAACCTCCAGCTACTTAAAAATATAAGAATTGTGGCTCATAGGCCATATAAAAAGGCTACGGTCTGCTAACTTCTAACTTTTACCAGCAGCAAATAGTGAAGTCAGATTTTTTTCTTATTAACTTCTCAAATTCTACATGTCAGTTTATGAGTACAATACATCTTGATCATTGGCATTCCTTTTATCATTCTCCCCATTTCTTCCAACTCCACCCATCCCTTAATTCTCCTAGTGCAACATGTATGTACATGCACATATATGTATGTATTGAATATTATGACTGCTTTCTCTCATCCTTCCTCTTTTCTTTGTCTAACCCCCGTCCTTGACCTTACCATTGTCTATCCTGATACCTCAAATTCATTATGTTAGACTGTAACAGTTGTTCAAAAGAATTACATCATTGGAATTCTCCCCTGCACACACCATTCTTTAGTTAATACACTTGTGTATATATGCATATGACCCCATATATGCTTACATATATGTATATTTATAAATTAGATCGAAGTTTTACATATAAGATAAAATATGTTGAAGCCAGATTTTAAAATCATGTCTGAGTCCAAATCCTGTTGCTTCACAGCCATAAGTATTCTTTCAACGAGGCAACAAGGTTCAGGTATACTTTTAGTGCTAACACAGTAGAGCAATAGGCAGAAAAATTAGGAGAAGCTAGCCAGATCTTACTGATTTACCTGTGGAGACTTTACAGAGAAGAACAAATGATTAATGCATTGTACTTATAAACTGATAAACTGATTTATTGAGTGGTCACTCCATTGTACTAAAGATAATGAAAGATAATATAAAAAGTATATTCAAGAGAGCTAGTGAATTTCAATTTTGGTTATTTTCAGAGATCAATGAAACAAAACTAATCAAAGCTTTATTCTTAAGTATCTTTTCTATTTTATTTTTAAAAAGTTGTTACTATAAAGGTAATGTAGAGAGGGGCTACCATTATGTAAGTTAGGTAAAGAGGACATTTCTTTTTGGACAGTGTCACCCCTTTCCTCGCTCTCTCCCAGTTTTTCTCTCTTGTCCCCACTCACAAGTTGTATGGTTCATTTTCATCATAGTGTTTAGTGAGTACCACTGCTGCATTTGTTCACCCTTTGTCCCTCCATCTCTGTCCCAACCCTTACTCTCCCAAAGACAGATAAATGAACAAACAAGACAAAAAGAAAAGAAAACAAAAATAATAACAAAGAAAAAACATCTTGTTTTTATTTCCTGGAGTTCTTCATTTTGATAAATATCATTTTGTATGATCAGATACACATAGGTATTGTGCCTTTGTGTTCCTCCCCTAAGAATATCCTCTTTTGGTCTTGTTATGTATAACTTAGAGTCCTGTATAACTTAACCATGTCCTGGTGTTATTTTTTTTAATTTTTTAAGGGAATATCTGCGTTTCTCTTTACAAATGAATTGTTATTTAATGTTTGAATTTCTTTCTATAAGTGAATTGTTTTTTTAATATTTTTGTTCACAAGCTAGCAGTATGCTTTTCTTCCATTCATTTGGTGTAGACATACCACACTAAGTTATAAAACTTCAGAAATAATCTGTGTTTAGTGTATTACTTATATGGTACAATTTTTACAATCTTTAAAAATATTTTAGCATTTGAGAGGAAGGAGAAATGACCATACTAAGGCTTTTTCTCTGCTTTTTATGGCTTCAATGAGATTTAGGGTATTTTCTTGAAGTTTACTACTTTAGGTTTATTACTTAAATACTACCTTATTGAACTAAAGAATCAAGGGAGGAAAGTATTACTGAAGTTCATTGTTTTTGAAAGCTTTCATTTAAACGTACATATTTACATTCTTCCTTCACTTCAGCACATCTATCTCAAAGCAAATTGTGCCAGGTACTTTTCTTAGGTGATTTTTCCACAGCAGCAGGTGCTGACTTGTTCTCTAATACACAGGCCAGGTTTACTTAATGGGAAGTTTATAACAACTATTGCCTGAAGCTCCAAGCTCTCTCATTATATTGAGCAATGTCTTTAAGGGTCAAAATAAAACCATCTGAAGCAAAAATAACCCCAACTAAAATGGAGATGTCTAAATGATGTAGCTATAGAGTCTGATATGAAGGTGGATCATGTATTTAAGGTTGTGCTGTGTTTAAGAAGTTGCTAAATAAAAATAAAAAAATTCTTTTAGGTATTTTTTCTTTAATAGTAGCTAGAATGTTCAGATTTTATTATCAGTTTTGGCATTGGGAGAATAGGAGAATCCATAGGAAAAGGATCTATCTATTTCCCAACACTACTTTTTCTTGCTTTGTTTGGTTATTAATGCCATTCACAAAGTGTTAAAAAGGAAGAAACTGCTGTATGCAAATCAAAGTACCTTAATTTTCTCAGGTCTTTTGTGCAATTCATTTAATGTTGTTCATTAATCCCTTGTACTATTTGATGAGAAGTTTAAATGTTTTGTTTACCCAGACAAACTTGAATCTTTTGTTTTTCTTCTAGATTGTGATACCATTCTTCAGTCTCCTAATCAAAGATATTTATTTCCTTAATGAGGGCTGTGCCAACCGCCTTCCAAATGGCCATGTCAATTTTGAGGTGAGTGTGATCAAGTAAAATGTTTGTCAGTTAGAGCACAGACAGTTTCTCAGTATTGCATGCCAGGCCAGGCAGCTAAAGATAGCTCTTTAGTTCCAGGAAAACAAAAAAAAAAAACAACTTTCTCTTTCCTTGTTCTTTTGTAAAAACTTAACAATACCAAACCACATAGAGTAGCCACAGTGTTACTAATACTACATGATGAGGAAGAGGACGATGGGAGAGAGCATTAGTAAGTTTTACCTGCACCTAGCCAGCAGATAGAGTTTTTGTTAAATTTAAAAAAAAATTGTAATTAAGCAGTTTAAAAACAACACACACAATTTTTGATGACTCCCTTTAAAATTTTTATATTCTCTCCTAGAAATTTTGGGAACTAGCCAAACAAGTAAGTGAATTTATGACATGGAAACAAGTGGAGTGTCCATTTGAGAGGGACCGGAAGATCTTGCAGTATCTCCTCACAGTTCCTGTCTTCAGTGAAGATGGTAAGGCCATTCTGTTGGATTATTGAGCATACCCAGATCTGCATTTAGAAAACTAGAACACAGCTGCTTGACGCTTGATTACTCCTCATGTATGAGATCATTCCTCTGTTCTATTCCATCTTAGGGTGTTTGGTTGCACAGATAGCCTTGGGATTTGTCCCCAAAAGATTTTCATTTAGTATTTACTCCTATGCAGTGTACTTCCAGGTCTGTCTGTCTCTCTGTCTTTCTGTCTTTCTGTCTATCTGTCTGTCTGTCTATCTATCTATCTTATCTGTCTATATTTTTAATACCTGATCTGCTTTGGGAAAAAGACATTTGAAAGTGATTTTTCTTATTTCAATTTGCTTCAATGAGGGAAAGGTGTTTTGTGGTCTATTGATAGTCTAAATAATGAGAGTTAGGAACCAAAACACTGACTTGCTATCCTTTGCTCCCTGAAAATAATGGAAAATCTTGATCTGTTAAAAATTAGGGAAATGGAAACAGAAAAACATGATTGGATATATATAGAAACAATTCACCGGAAAAGATTAGAATTATTAAAAAAAACTTGTTTTTTTCCTATTTATTTTGTAATTATCCTAAAATTCTAACAATCAGTATATCTATTGGTTAATAATACCTTATAGTACATTGATAGCATCTACAGTAATGAGTGAACAAAATTTTAAGTTAGCATTACTATTACTAGTATTACTATTACTATTCCTTGATTTTAAAAAGTAAGAAAAGGCTGGGCACTGGTAGCTCATAACTGTAATCCTAGCTTCTCAGGGGGCTGAGATCTGAGGATCATGGTTTGAAGCCATTCGAGCAGAAAAGTCCCCCTGAGACTTATCTGCAATTAATCCCAGCCTGAAAATGGAGCTATGGTGCAAAGTGGTAGAGTGTTCACTTTGAACAAAAGAGCACAGGGACAGCGCCCTGGCCCTGAGTTCAAGCCCACAACTGACAAAAAAGAAAAAGAAAAAAATATTAGAAAGATGAAAAAATTGGCCTAAAAATGTAAGGATTCAAACAACAACCAAAAAAACCCAGAGTGCAGGGGATGGCTAACAGTGACGAGGCCTCAGTACTGAAGCAGTCTTTTCCTTGGTTAATTGTAGCTCTCTACTTGGCTTCTTACGAGAGTGAAGGACCTGAAAACCACACAGAGAAAGACAGATGGAAGTCTTTAAGGTAGGTTTCATTTCTTCTCATGGTTGTGCAAATCTACAGGAAATAATGGTTTTACCTGAAAAAAAAAAAGCCAACACGCATTCCATGGGAAACCCAGGCTACCTTTCTCACTTTTTGGAATCTTAACATTCTGGTAACTGAATCTTCGTGGCTTGGAATTCTCACTGCCATCATTCAATGTACTGCTTTTTAGTTTTATTGCTTTTCATGTTATTATAGTATTATATTGGAGTTGAAATTACTGTGCAGTAGGGCTAAACATGTGCTAAAAATGTAAATATTGAAAAAACAAACTGTTTTCCCTTGCCTAAAAGATTAAAAGATCAGTTCTTATTTCTGAATCCTTCTGACTTGAGATTAAGAAAGGGGAGTGGGAAATGTGAGACTAAATTCAGGTTAAAGTTGGTAAGTTTGGGGTGTTATGGCAATGAACTCCCTTCTTTAGTTTGATAAAGAGAATTGGGACTTTAAGAACAATCAGGAGTTTTTTACTCAAATTTTTTAATATGTTGCCATTTTATTAGCATTTTTCAAACAAAACTGGTATTTGTACTTTAGGCATTTAAAATACTCTAATAGGTAAAAGCAGCCCCAGGTCAAGATGTAATGTAGTACGATCAAAATTGCTTTACAATACACACTTTTCTTCCCCCTCTGCTGCTATTTGAGCTATTAGTTGGGTCTTCTACCCCTTGAGCCATGCCTCTACCTATCTCTTTTTGCTTTAGTTATATTTTGCATAGGAAGGACCTAACGCTTTTGTCCTGGCTGAACAGTACCACAGTCCTCCAACATGCAATTACTACTCTTTTTGGTTTTACCTATGTAAAATGAAATTTAAAACTTGGAAAAGAGAACATGTATACTAAACAAAATGTATGGATCCTGGACCTAAAAGCTGCCATCAATCTTACACGGTCTTCTTCATTTTATAGGTCCAGCCTGTTAGGCAGAGTTTAACATATAGAAGCTGCCTGTTGCTGTTGCTGTTGCTGCTGCATGGTGCAGACCACAGAAAGGCTGGCCTTTGTTTTCTGACATCTCCTCCTAGGACAGATCATGAAGACCCCTCAGCCCTGGGAGATCTCAGATCAACAAAGCAAGAAAGCCCACTGCAGAGCAGATGGGAAAGTCATTTCCCACAGCTGACAGATTGACTCAAGGTTTTGTGGGACTGAAATGTTCACTGAAGACACTTGAGAAAGAATCCTCTAAAGATCCTGGCTCTGACATGATTCATCTTTTGGAATTTCCATGTGAATCACAGCTCTGCACCTGGATGGAGTTTTCTTTTGTGCGTGTGTGTGCTTTGCTTATTTGGTTGAACATTTGCTGCTAATGGGACTTACTCGGCTGAGCACCGGCTCTTAGGAAGCCCATGTTTCTTTGTTAATTTAAATGAAAAAAGGAGAGGAGGGAGGGGAAATCCCCCTCAGTTTAGATCTCAGACCTCAGCCAGGCAAGGGAAGACTGGTTTGATGCCAACCATGGACTTTACTTCCTTTAGTATGTGTTGTGTTGTAAATTCCTCTCCTCCTTCTTCCTATGAAGTTTTGAGTTGGCTGCTGGTTAGCAAACTCCTTTTTACCCATATAAGTTATTTAATATAAGAATGAAGCTTAACACTGTGGTAGGAAAATAGCCACTAGGAAGAAAAAAAAAAGCAGAGTTTGTCATTGGACTGCTAACCAAGCTAGAGGGACCTTTGGCCCTCTTTGCCCTTCTGGAACTGTTTACAACTAACTGACCACTGTGTTCTACAGATGTATTGTTGTTTTGTAGTTTTTTTGTTACTTAGTTTTCCATGATGCCTATTTTTTTTCCTTGTAAATTTAAGTTATCTGACTTTGAAGGTTTAACGACAAAACAAAACCCTGTCATAATTACAGGTTTATTTTCTTTAACAGACTAATTTTTATGGTTACTTCTTGGAGTCTGTTGGTGACTAAACCTATAAACAAAGAGTAAATTGGAAAAGTGACCTCCTCACCCTTAGCAAGTGAATCAAAACAGCTGACAAATATGTTGATGTGGAGACAATGATGGATCTGCTTGTGAAATAGTTCAGCTTGTTAAACATCTAAATCGATCTATAGTTGCTCTGCAAACAGCTATTATGTATCTTTACTCTAGGAGAAACTGTAGAGTAGTAATATGTGCTAATGAAAAGCAAAACACCATGTTCAAACCAGAGCTGTATCTGGAAACCTCCTTCTGTGGTTGCCAGAACCAAGCATGTGTGTGTGCTCTGCTTCACCGCAATGGGTCTAAAGTGTCTCCAACTTGTCCTTTTACAACCATCAATATAATTCCCACTCTGCTGCCAGGAGCTGTGGTGTCCTTCTTTGTGTTTACGGATGGGAATGTGGGGTGGGTGGGCATGGAATCACAGGAGTTCCATTTCTTGTGACCAGCTCAGAATGTCAGCTGTAAGAAAGTAACTTTAGGAGTATGTGCAGGGATACTTATTTTCTAAAACCGAATCATATTAAACATTTAATGAATAGCAAGTGCCAGGTACTTTCTAAATATTTAATCACAGATAATGTCATCATCACCATAGTTTTTTTTTGATAACTGTATATATGGTAAGTTGTTCATGGCCACATGACTAATAAGAAGCACAAGGGTTTGAACCTTCTACTCCCAGAGTTCAGACTTCAAACCACCAGTGCATCTCAAACTTCAGTATCCTTGTACATTGCCTGGGGATTTTATTTAGAGTTTAGAACTGTAGATCTGCAGTGAGGCCCCAGAAGATACTGAAACTTTTGGACCTGGATTCTACTTAGAGTATAGACACTCCTGTCTCTTTTGTTCCCAGAGATTTTGGGGTTTTTTTTTTTGGTCGATCATGGGGCTTGAACTCTGGGCCTGGGCGCTGTCCCTCAGCTCTTCAGCTCAAGGCGAGTGCTCTACTGCTTGAGCCACAGTGCCACTTCCGATTTTCTGAGTGGTTTATTGGAGATAAGAGTTTCACGGACTTTCCTGCCCCAGCTGGCTTTGAACCACGATCTTCAAATCTCAGCCTCCTAAGTAGCTAGGATTACAGGCGTGAGCTACCGGCGCCCACCAGAGATTTTAATTGATGAGGTAATGGAATCAATTCTACAAGAAAGCTATGACCATTGAAAGGTTTTGATGTCATTTAGGGGGATAGATTTCTTTACAAGTCAGTAAAATGTTTAAGTTAAACAGATTAAGTTTATTTGAATGTTAAAAATCTGAGAGAATAAAATAGCAAAAGCCTGAATTGGGAGAGGGACCCTAGCGAAGAACTCTCTCAGAGGACAGTTACTGTTTTAGGGGCTCCTCCCATATCTCCTCTTCTAGGCTTTGCACTGATTGCTTGATGGCTTGTGCTTGTGCTGCCCTGACTCTTTTCATTGGTTGAGAGTGTTCTGCACGTAGAGAATTATGGGAAGAAGTGTTTAAGCAGGCCTCACAGTATTACAAGAAGAAACATTTAAGCAGATGTCAGAGGCACTTATAGGAACAAGAAGCCTTAGGATGGACCACATGCTACATCTTCCACTTTTTAGTTCTTATCTACCTAGCAGTTTCCCTTTCTTTCCCTCAATCTATATTACTTAGCAGTTCTCAAGAGAAGGAAGAACCGCAGATTAGGCAGGGCCTCAGGAGAGACTAGTAAGGGTGGGGAGGAAGCAGAAAGTAGAAGAAAAGCTGGTCTGTGGGGGGGGGGGGGGGCGGTGAGGGGGAATGCTTCAAAGGAAAGGAAAGATTGAACTAGGTAAAAAATAAAATAGAATAAAAAATTCAGGATTGACAAGTGTGAATAATTCCAGGGGGCTGGGGACAATTAGGGTGGTCTGGGTGGCTGGTATCTGTGCAGAGGAAAATTAGCTCAGTATACAAGAGGTTAAAGTAGAGATTAGTATGGGCTAGGGATGAGCTATATGATAGGTCTGCTGCAAAGTTGAGCCCTTAAGTAGTCTTGATGAGCCCTGGGAGGATCTATTGCTCCCTAGCCAGGAAAAAAAAAATTAAGCTGGCAAAACATCTTACAGAAAATTCAAAAATGTGCTTAGTACAACTCCTTAACTCTGCCTCTTTTCTCCTTGTACTGCCTTTCCTTGGAATTTACCATTTCAGTTGATGTCAGGGCTAGCTAGCTGCCTGTATGGCATTCCCTGCAAGGTAATGGTTGGTTGAGAAACTTGAAATAATTATATTTCATGACAGGTGAAAATTATATAAAGTTCAAATCTCAATATCCATAACGCATTATTAGAACATGACTGTACTCAAAATTCATTAGATATTTTTCTTGTAACTGTTTTCTGTTACAACCACAGTGTGATAGTTGTAAACTAGACTTGATTTGTCTCCCAAAGTCACAGTTACTTACTGGCCCTTTATAGAAAGCTTATTTATGCTTAAGTTGTGTTTTTTCCTTTAAAAGTTAGAAAATTTACAAAAAATATTCTAAAAAAAATACAGCATCCCATACCTAAATGATTTAAGCCTGTTTAAGTTTACATGGAGTTTGCCATCCTTATTATTAGCCTCTTGTTTTAATGTCCAAGTAAGCCTGGTTTAAAAAATTGTAACTTACCTGTGGAAGTCACTACTCCTGCTTGTACCATATATTTGGACTCCACAACAGTCTAGTAAATGCAGTTGTAATATATGTGTTTGTGCTGGGTAGAAGCCCTGGTAGAGACAAGCATCAACAACACCAGGAATTGTTAGTGAGTGGACTAATTGAGGAGGTGATCTGTTCAAGCACGCCAGGAAAAAAAGCTCTAAGCTGTGAACAGCATGTTTGGCGGATACCAGGAAGGAGCCTCCCCCCAAGCTGGGTGTAGGTGGATCAAAGGAGAGTATACCTTATACTATGTGAAGTACTTGTTTTTGAGAACACAGCCCCATTCTCTAGGGGGCCACCTGTCTTCTCAATTGAAAACCAGTTGTGTTGCCTTTGAGGGATTTTAGTTTTACCCCTTCACTTGACCCTGGCACTTCAGTTGTTACCTGTTATACTTTTCCTCTAACATATTTGTATTTCTTTCTGTACTTTTCTAACTACTGTGCACATCCCTTCTGTGTATAGACATCTTATTCTTAAGAAAATGTAGCCCACCCCTGGAAGTTGAGTTCCTGAACTATAGAAGAATTTTGGGCTGCTAAGTGGGAACAGCCTCTACTTTCCAAGGTGCTTTGTTTACCTTGTGGTCTCTCTCAACCCAAGACAATGTCTACCTCTACTCCAAATCTGTTTTAGTATTCCCATGCAATATGCAAGACTGGGAATAAAACTAGAGGCTTTGGCCAATGTTCTGTGGGAGCTGAGGGTTCAAAAGAATTCCTGGATGTGTTTCCTGGTAAGAAAATGTGGTTAGTGACCTGGAAATTACTAGCTAAACATATAAAACTCAAAAGATATTCAGATGGTGACTCCATTAGCTTTACCCTGAAGAAAAGGCTGTGGTCAAACTTTGGCTTCAAGAGTTTTTGATTGAAAATGGAGGCACTTCCTAGGTAATTCAAACCAGTTCCCTCTCTTCTTCCCCCACCCCACTTCTCTGGGCTTGAATGACTGCATAATTGCTTCAATTTTTTTGTTTCATGTGTTGAAATCACTTGGCTCCCTCCTTAATGCTAACAAAGATGTTAGGGTTGGAGGTTTATGTGTCCAAAGCTTATAATTGCGAGGCCCATCATCCAAAACTGCAAATAAGTCTGATTCTAGGCAAAATAGAACTGTGTCATAATTTTGTTCTTATGAATCAACTTTCTTAAAGGATTTCATGTGTGCATGTGTATGCATATACTCACACATGTATGTGAATGTGTATATGTGTATGGTGGGGCTTGAACTCAAGACCTTCTACTCATAGCATTTTCGCTCTGCTACAAACTTTTGGCTTTTTGCTGGTAAATTAGAGATAAAACTGTCAGACTTTTCTATCTGAGCTGGCTTTAAACCAGCCTCCTGAATAGATAAGATTATAGGAGTAAGCATCTACACCTGACATTGCTAAGAAACTTTTTAAAGCTTAATTAAAAAAAGAAAACAGCTTGCTGGAATGAGAATTCTCAGGCAGTGAGTTGCCTTATATTTTTTAGTGCTAGTAGCCTTCAGCAGGCTTGAATTCTACTATAATTTAATCATACCTAATGAGATGAAACACCCAAAGTCATTAGTTCCATCAGATTCTTAGAACTATGTTGGCATAATATCAACTGTTAGCATCTTGACAATTTAGATTTATGGGTAAAAATTAATTTGTAAATTATGTATTTTAGGGAACTGAAGGACATTGACACTTCTTAGAATGAAAGAAACATGATAAAACTCCTTGATGGGTGGTAACTCAGGAGACTTTCTACCAGGAAACAGTTAGCTTTCCCCTTCCACCTATACCATATGGGGAAAATGAAAGTTAGGGTGAATCACCATTCTTTGAATGAATCTATGGGAAAGTATGACAATGTCTTTTCAATTTGGTTGAGCCCTGTTGGTTGGAGGACCAGAACATTGTTAAGTAGTGTTCAATGTGATGATGAATCTTCAAAGTGAAAGGGAGCTGAGTGAGAGAATTGATGTGCTTTCAGTCAATACTGATGAAATGAATAAGCCATGTTAGTTTGGTTATAATTCAGGAGTGACGTATTTCATTCTCATTAGTTGAATAAGTCACCAATACATCCCTCCCCCTGCTCCAAAAAAAACCCCACCTGGATTTTGGAAATGAGTATAAATTGAAATTCCCAAGGTATTATCACAGATGACAACAACGCCTCAAAGCAGCAAAGAAAACCCAAGCCAGTGAATTTTTAAAAGGAACAATCATTTTACTATTCATATATATGATGAGATTAACAATTACTCTTTATTAGTCAATGCAAATACTCATGAGAAAAAGTTTCCCTTTAAAACTAATTTAAAATCTATCCTTAAAAATAGTCAACAGAGTTTAAGCACCTAAGGTATATTTGAGTAATCATCAGATTAACAATGTGAGAACTGTCTAGGAACGTGAGTAACTGCTAACTCTGTCCCTAGGTTTCCAGGATTTGGGGAAAATCTTCCTCACTTTCTGAACTGCAGGTCTGGACTAATTGGTGTGAATGGGCTGTTGATGGTCTATCGCCTATGGTCCGTATTTTAGAAAGGGTTTCATCAGCTTGCTAGATTCAAATTTAAATTAGCAAGTAAATTCAGTGTCCTGCTTCTGAGCCTCCAGCCTGACTCTTTTGTGTTTTGTTTGTTGTGTTTGAAAAAGGAAAGATGAGAGGCTAATTCCTACTTGGTAGAAAACAAAGGCTTGATAAAAGGCTCAATCTACCCCTCCAGTTGCAAGT